TGTATTAAAGGGGACAAATCATTCAAAATCCATTGTTTCAGCTGTTAAATACATTTTGCTGTGTATTTGCAGAAAAGTTAAATTTAGTCTCTCCTGGTGCTACAAATATATATTTATATTCTGTTTGAGTCATATTTTTTAGCCCGTTCAAATTTCTCTATTTTCTATGAGCGATTACGTCAAATTATCTGCAGTGGAATTGCCAATATAGATCTGTATTTACCGACTACAATTTCCTCGTCCTTATTCTCCTCTGGCCCCAACATGTAAGGCTGAATGAACAAGTCTTCTGTTGCTGAAATCTAAATAAATAAGTTAATAAAAYGTTTCTGTAACACCCGCCTCCCAAAACCGGAGTGGACCGGTCTGGAAGCTGGAASAGGTTGGGGATTGAAATGTCTTAAAGAAACAGTAAWAAAACAAGCTACTTCAAGAGACACTCCAGAAAAGTGGTGAAGTGGGGCTTGTGAAGTTAGAATAAGGAGAAATTCAAACCACTRTTTAAAGACCCCAAYTGAAYGATTTAAATRTGAAAAGGAAAGATTTAAAAGCATCATCATCATCATCAAACTTTATTTATAAAGCACTATWACATCAGCCATGGCTGAAACAAAGTGCTGAACACATGAAATAAAAAYTCAATTCAAAAACACAATAAAACCACACAGTTAAATAGGTAAARTCAGCACCAATACWGTAAAACTTGAGTAAAATCAAATCTCAGCTGGGTTGAAGGCCAGTGMGAAAAACTGTTTTAAAAATGGACAGYGAAGGGGCCTGYCRAACATGCAAAGGCAAGGCATTCRTCATATGTCTACTTTAACTAATAGACTTGATGATTACTCAGAAACCTTCTAAAGGCACAGTAAAAATCACACATGAAGATCACACAGTGATGATGCAAATATTCTGAACATTTCAAGAATAAATGTTAATGTGAAGTGCATTTAAGACTCAAATTATCTTACAATATGTAAATTTTCAGCATCAATATACAGTACGTAATCTTATCTGTAATATTTTCTGAAAAGACATATTCCAGAGATGAGAAAGACCTTTGACACGCACCTTCTGTGTTCCCCATCTAGAACTCACGGTACCAAACGTACCAGCGGATGTGGAACTACATGAAGTCCAAGCAGCCCAGTGTGTTTGTGAAGAGCACGGAAGAAGGCATTGCTCGCGTCCTTAACTCCAAGTATGCTTTCCTGATGGAGAGCACCATGAATGAGTACTACCGCAGCCTCAACTGCAACCTCACGCAGATCGGGGGACTGCTCGACACAAAGGGATACGGCATCGGCATGCCTCTGGGTGAGTTGTAGTTTTAAAACAAATTCCAGTGTTTTCCTGAACATAAAAGCCACTCACAACCTGCTTTAAGTACTCCCAGAGGCAGAAGAATTTGGGCAAACCATGTTTGAGATTTGGATGTGTTTAGCCCAATAGAAGGATGCAGATTGACTGTAAAACGTTTAGTTCTGCACATGCAATCAGTGGTGGGCAGCGCTAATACAAAAATTAGCTCTGCAACTTCAAAAGCGCTAATGCCAAAGAGAAATTAATGGAAGCTAACTCAAAAGCGCAAGTTCAATTCGACACTTACTAGCCGACAACAATTCATTTTCAAAATATGCACATCACTGCCAACTAGTGGTGTATGAACTCTTTTACAACTTAATTCTACAACCACTGATTGCTGGGGATGTGATTTCCTAAAACAGACCTTTAGCTCCTCGTGTAAAAATTAAAAGGTTGTTGAGGATTGCTAGTTCGGCTGCTTCTTTGTCTTTTTCTTTTGTTTGTTGTAGATTTTTCATTAAAGAAGCATCAATAAAGTAATTTTAAAACTGTTTAGTGGAAAACTGAAGCAATGCATTCTGGGTACATGACTGATTTGATTTGTGACGGGAAACGAAAGCAGGGTCATACAGGAAACTATCTTCACTTCAAAATAAGAGCGTTGATTTTAAAGTTTTCCATGTAGTTGCTCCAGTTGACCACTAGATGTCAGTCTTCATCAGCATAACATCTTTAAATCATTTCTGCGTCCCTTCAGGCTTCAGCTAACCCCGTTGGCCGATTGCTTCGGCCACTTACGTCAAGTATTGAGCTACAGCGTTTAAACTTTGTTTTAAAAAAGGAGCTCCGATTGTAAAGTAAAGTAAATCAATACATATAAAATTTTAGTATGGATTACAAACGTTAACGGTTTTTGCTATTGCCTTCCTGCTAAGCAGACACAAAGCATTGTGGGAAATGAGAACCCTGACCGAAAGCAACAGTCAGCAAGGACGTATACCTTTCTAGTAAGCGTGTATATCTGGGAGGGGTGCTGATGGATAGATCACATGCTGTGATTCATTGGCAGCCATACCTTCTGCTGTTCAAGATAATGATGACTGGTAGATAATTAATTAGCGGTACTGCATTTTTATTTTAGAAAGTTCAAATCTGCTTATGAATTATAAAAATTAGTAAGACCGCTGGAGCACAAACAAAATATATATATATTTTTTTTGATGGCCTCCCTTCTCCCCCTTTAGCCATCCTTTCCACAC